TTTTAACCTTTTATTTGTATATTGTCTAATTTTCAGAACATCAAGGACAAGTTTTGTTAGTTCTGCTTTATTTATGCCTTGCATTGGTCGATTTTTATTTTTAATGTATGAAACAATTGACATCTCTTCTGTCTCCAAAAGAATTATACAGTACTTTCTTTCAAGACTATTAACTATTTTCCCAGCAAGTCTACGGTTTATTGTTTCACGATCTTAAGTAAGTGGGAATTGTCTTGTTTTAATTGCAGCATGTCCTCTTACATTATTTTCTTTACACCAGTGAACAGCAACTTCAAATTGTTTTTTTTTTCTTATGTTGCTTTTCTCTTCAAAAGTGCTTCAGCATTGAACTTTGATTTAGTGACTTCATTTGCAAGCGTATTTTGAATTTTTTATTGATGTTACTTATATTTATTTATTTGCCTAAAAATAAAATATTATCAAAAATTCACTAAACTGAACTAAATCTCTATGCAAGAATATAAAATAAAATCTCTTTATAAATTCTTTATCATCAAAAAGCTTGTTACAACTACTACAAACCTACACTGATTCTTGATTTTTTGTAATATCACATAGATTTTTTTAAAAACTAAAATAACTCATGTGATTTTTTTAGCGCCTTAGGTACTTCAAAATACTACATGAAGTGAAATTTGATATAACAAGCATATTCAAAATATGGGAAAGTTACAACTATTTTTAAAAAAGTTATAAACAATTTAAGCCATGTAGTTTTTGAGGTCCCATACTAAATATAGAGAAATTTTTTTTCTATGAACCAAAGCCCCACAGTTGGAGGCTTTGGTTCATAGAAAATATATTTTTAAAAGAAACTCTGAAAATATTTTTTTTTTATTAATCATGGAATAAGGCTTCCTGCTTTATAATAGACCTGAGCCCCAAAAAGTTTTGATCCACTACTGCACATTGCCATAACACATTATATTATATCTGTAATCCAGGAATTAAAAATGTGCAGGAAAAAGCAGCTTGCTAATTAATGGTTATTTTTCTCTCCTATGCCTTCAATTGTTCTACATAAAAAACCGTACACATAAATTATAAGAAACCTTGACGTAGTTTATGTACTTTAAACAAATATCTTTTAGACAGATACCCTTTCAACCTTTATACTATGGAGGTGGATTTTTTGTCATATATTGTAGATTTTTTTAAAATCCTAAATGTTAAAAGTCAGTTTGAAGATGTCTGGTTTAAAGACTTTAAAATGATTGTCTTTGATAAATAAGCGATTTGATCCCATTGAAAAAATGTTTAGTAAGCTACGTCAAGGTTTTGATAAAACATATTATATCAATGTTTAACAAATTTTACAAAAAGTAAACATTAAGAAAATAAAGCTTCTTGATTTACTTACAAATTTTAATAGAATCTAAACAAGTTTGTTTGTTTGTTGTTTAATATAATCTAAACAAACTTGTTTGAAATGCGGATTTCAATACCTTTTAATGTGTTTCATAATCTTTCAAATATGGAGTTAGTCTTATCTAAATCTATGAAAATTGCACTAGTCTATATTGCAGGATTCTTCAGCAGAAACAATGAAGATGAAAGTGGTACAACTTTCTTTTAAGAGGAAAATGGAGATTTTACAAAACAACTCAACCGAAGTGGATTGAAGTTATCTGAAGACAAAGTGTCATTGGGTAATTTATTGCTATTTATTTTTCCATCATATTATGTCCTCAGTTTGTTGGACAAGTCTTATAAATATATTAACGAAGATAGCAGAATTTCATGAAAAAATATATTCTAACATATTGTTTAATAACTAGAGCAAACTAGAGAGCCTATATACTCAGAGAGCGGACATACGGAAAATACGGAAGAACGGCGGCCATGTTTTTGCCAAACAAGCGTTTGACATTCACGAATTCAAGTAAAAACAATCGAAAGAAAATGAGCACAATAATATTTTAAACAGAATATATTTTTAAAAATTAAACCTTTTTATGTTTTATTTTTTCAAAATTATTTTTCGACAAAATTATTTATTTATTTAGGAAATACCTTTAAAAAAAACACAGCAAAAAAGTAGTTGTAATCAATAAGTAATTTGAAAAAAGCTTTACAGTTTATTTTATAAATTAGTTGAACCTAAACCTTTAGTGCAAATGCATGCATTGTCAAACTCTTGCTGCCAAGTTCACAAGAACTTTTTTTAGTTTTTTTCTTTTTACATAATAAACACTTTTTTTTAAGGTTAAATATTTTAAGTCTGAATGTTATAAACCTGTTTTTTAGCTTCAATTTAATTTGATGACAACTGGGATACAAAGTTAGACTTTTAATTTGTTCATCAGAATTAACTTTCTCTAAAAGCATAGTATTACAATTCTTTTGGGAATTAAGGTATGGCTCAAATGATCTGAATATTAACTCCATTTGTAAAAAGAATGCAAATGTTGTTTCATTAGCAAAAAATAAACTACCCACTTTGTGCTCTTTGTCTGTAACAAACTTTGTGTAATCAGCATTAACTCTATTTTTAGAAACTAGAGATTCAAAACAAATTGTGCAAACTTTTTAAATTTTTTTAACTCTAGAAATTATATAACCTGCAATATGAAACAAACAATTTTGCTCAGCATTACTTAAGATTAAGTTAGAGGTTTTATTCCAATCTTTAGGTAAAAAAAATGCACTCTCTTTGCTGTGGTTTATGCACATTACTATTAACTATATCTATATCATAACTGCCTTTTGATGATTTTTTCAAGAATTGGGCAAGTTTCAAGTTATTTTTAAATTGAAGAGCAGTAGGAATTACTTGTTTTGCACGTACCAGGGAAAAAAGATTCTCCAGGCAATCCTGCGTAAATCGTGATGTCATTAGAAAATCAAACTTTTTTTCTAGAAGAAACTTATTTTGCAAGTTAATAACTGATGTTGTTGATAATATAACACCAGATGGAATAGGTTTCCACCTTATTTTTTCAGTTTGGCCTAATATTTTTAAACCATTGAATATCTCTATGACTTCATTTAAAAAAGTTATTGTTTCATTGTAAACTTTGTCATTTTTAATGCTAAGAGCCATACCTGGGTTTCGTGAGGTCATTAATGTAAACCATTTATCAACAATTCCTATAAACCGAGCAGTTGTGAGAATAGAATCATCTTTTATTTCACTTGCAATAAATTTTAATCGACAACTTACATCATGATTCATTACAGATGTTGCTCTTTATACTTTCATTTTGTTGAAATGTTTTTCATCAAGATGTTCAGATGTAAGCTTGTAAGCAAACTTCAAATCCATACCTTCTTGAAAGTCTACAAGTTTGTTAAGGTGTTTTGAATCTATAATTGGCGATTGAACTTTATATTTTTCTTGAATCTTAGCTGTTATTATAAAATGTTTGTTACATAAAAGAGATGTTCTTATATTCTTTAATAAATGTGGTACGTCTGCTAAAAAATCAATTGTACGAGTTGGGTCACATGGGTGTTAAATTGAACTAGAAATACTGCCACTTTTAGTACAGCTAATATTAAAACATTTCCACATTGCCTGGTTAATGGCACCCATATCAGAAGTAACACTATTAACTTTTAATCCTATTTCTTCAGTATACTTTATTATAGATAGGACAATGTTTTTTAAAACAGAACTTCCAGTATAATAATATGCAACAGTTTGTTTCCATTTTGTAGATATTCCTCCAAGCATAAAAACTAAAGCATGGTTAGCTTGGCCATAATGTTCAGGTAATGTAACATCTCCATAGTAAGAGCTTGTAGATGTGTCGCAGTCAACACTTTCAGTTATTGACATTTCATCAAGAATTAAAACACATTCTTTTTCATGGCATTCACCTTAGTTTTCATAAACTCAAAGACTTCTGTTAGAATGCCACTTTGAAATTTTAGATTTTCTAATCTTTGTCGTAGGGTACGTAATGATGGGTATGGTAAGTTTAAACGAAGTAAATTATCATAACCACAATAAATCCTTTCTCAGGCCTGTTATGGCAGCCTACTGCAGCACAACCAAGCATACTTTTACAAATATTTAATACAAATTTAATAGTAGACTTTAATCGCAGTTAGTATTTTTGGCAAAAAGATGGCGTCTAAAATCATAAAAATCGAACAACCAATCAAAAACGATCACACGTATGTCCGCTCTCTGAGTATATAGGCTCTCTAGAGCAAACTATACACACCTCGATCAACAAAAAAAATCTGCTTTAAAAGTACTTAAGTTATTACAAAAATGATTCATCTAAATAACTTCCATCGATTGCTATCGAATAGAAATATAAAATGTAAGTATATTAGGCGTAATAAATAAAACATTAGCAATTCTTAATGCAAATGTGTCCAATGTGGCTTTAAATGCTATGAACAATTAAAAAAAATTGAAAATTACTTTTAACATTTTTTGTTTTAACAAATTAAATTTAGCAAACTGATAAATACGATGTAAAGCATTACTTTTTTTTATTTCACAGAAGTTAATTGAAATATGGTTATATATTACACAGGATTCAAACGAACTATAAAAATAGGAATTTCTCTGTAAAATACATTAAATATAACATTGAATCAAGAGAAAATTCAACGCTACAACTTAAAATATAATGTTGTGTCAACAGTTTTTGATATTGACGATGTCGTGTTTGTAACCAAAATGATATTAAAATAACGTTTTTTTATATTTAGGTTACAAATGAAAACAAAAACAATCAGTCAGAAATATGGGAAAATTTTTTTTTGTTAAGGAAGACAAACCCTGCGTGAACAAAATAAACACAAATGTTTCCTTTAATTATTATTATTTAAAAACTTATTCATAAACAGAACTATGAAGTGGTGAACTCCATTCAACTAACTCACTCTCTGTAAACCAAAGAGCAATTTCTTTGTTTGCAGACTCAACACTGTCAGAACCATGAACAATATTACGGCCTAAATCAATTGAATAATCACCACGAAGTGTGCCAGGTTTTGAATCTAATGGATTTGTTTCACCCAAAAGAATTCGACCGGTTCTGCATGCATCTTTACCTTCCCAAACCATTGGAACTACAGGGCCTGATGCAATATGTTTTATTAGTGTTGGGAAAAACTTTTTCTCTTTAAGATCAGCATAATGTTGATTTAAAAGTTCTTCACTGGCTTTCATAAACTTCATTGCAACCAGTTTGTATCCTTTCTCCTCAAAGCGCTTGATAACTTTAGCTGTCAAACCTCGAACTACACCATCAGGCTTAACCATAATAAATGTTCTTTCGGTAGACATTTCTATTTATGAATAGTCTATAATTGAATGAGATAATGAGTTAAACACTAACAAAAATAAAAAAAACATTTTAAAATTTATTTAGAAGGTAAACATTTTTTTATTGAGAAATTGTAATCTATTAACATATACACTTAAAGTCTAAAAAAACAAGACAAGCTATTTTTTTGGAGTTATTTAAAAAAAGTATTTGTTACAGACAAACCTTGACTGACAAAGGCTTGATAATCAACAAAACAAATCCTAATTAAAACATTCAGAACAATTATTTATTTATTAGTATTAATCTCATCATTAAACTAAAACAAACTGTTTTAAAGACCTAAAATCTGATTACAAAATAATTACAACAGATATTGATGACAGCAGATAATTTATATCTGCTGTAATTATTAAATTACTTATAATTTAATAGATAAAAATATCAGAATGACAGCAGTTGAAAGTGGTGCTAAATCTTTTCAACTATATTTATAAATAAATCATTAAAGTCAGATACTACAAATTTTATGAAAAAGACAATAAAGCTACTAAAATGATTATCTTATTTAAGAAGTTATAATAAAATTATATTAACTGTATATAGATACTGAAGATACGCATGAACATTCCAGATGCCAAAGTAGTAACATTTGTTTTTTATTGAAATTATGTGTTATCATATTTTTAATCAAATTATTCTAAAAAGACTCTCATATAACCGTTGTATTGTTTGTTACACAATAAATACTTTTGTATTTTTTGTCTGAAAAAATAACACAAAACTCATGTATTTATTGTATTTCAATCTAATATAAATCTTAATGCTAATTTAAAATCTTTAAATATAAAAGTTTAGTTTTTAAAACACCTTAAACATAACATAAGTTTAAAATTAATATTAAAAATGAGAGTTAAAAGTTGATTTGAAAAAATCTTATAAATTATGTTAGAACTATTATTCTGTTAGTAACTTTTAGTAAAAAGGCTTTTTCTTTGTTGGTTTGCTAAGTTATGAAATCATATTTACATAAATAACATGTATATATACAATGTATATATTTATGTATATACATATATATATACATATACATATACATGTATATATATGTATATAGTTATACTAAAATGTTTAATTGAATTTAGGACAGAAAATGCATTGATAGAAACATAAACAAAGATCAGGAATAAATAATAAAAAAACAAAATAAAAGAAAAAACATACAAAATACAGTAAAGTGACAATATTCAATACTTATTTAAAATTAATCTTAATAGCTATATTAATTAAGTTTTCTATATTATTGAAAATCTGTAATTGAAAATGAGTTTGCGAATCGTGGTTCATTTTTATTTTTCATTTTGAAAAATTTAATTGCAACAATAACAAACTGATGTATAAATATAATAATTATATATGTCTCTTACTTAACTTTAATAAAATATCATGCAAAAAGCACATTTAAACCTGTCATAGACTTAAAAATACGTAAAAATATTTTATAGCTAAAGTAAAAAGGACATGTTTAATGCAAAAACCACGTTAAAACGTTAGCATATTTGATTTTGACAAACTTCTTCATTAACTAAGATTATAAAAATAGCAAATATAACAAATATTAAAATCTTAAACTATATTCTTCTCTATAATTCATTTCATTACATCCCTCTAAAGAGTTATTTTTGCGACCAAGTGCCACGAGGAACAGAAAAACCAATTAAAATGAGGTGAATTCGCTAGGGCCGTTGAATTTCTTTATTTCAAACAACCGAACCAGAATGATAAGGGCGCGGTTAAAATGCGGAATACGGAAAAATGCATTAAAGTTTCGAAAAAAAAACACGTTTTTTTGTTGTTTGTTTTTTTAAACTTCTTCTCTTCCAAAAAGGCTGCAAGCAACCACTATTAGAGTTGAAAGTTACTGGAAGATAAAGATAGAGATTGTTGAACAAAATAACGATTGACAGACGATTTATAAGATTGCAGATTATATGAATCAGGAAAGCAAGATGTCAATTCCAAAGAACTGATGTTCGAGGAAAAAAACGAAACGATTAACAGTTTTTTGAGCACTTAGGAGCAGTCACAGAAAAAGGATGAGGCTTAATTGAATGACGAGTGACACGAGAATGAATTTTAATAGATGGCACAAGAGCAGTGACTATTATAGTATTTGTAGAAAAGAGAAAGAGAAGCAACATGGCGACGATGTGATAATGGTTGAAAGTTGGCTGCAAGAGCAGGTCCAACTATGTTTACAATGTGTTTTTTCACCTTGTTTAAAAGAGAATAAACATCATTAGAAGATCCGGCCCAGGTATGGCAACAACATTCCATACAAGGGCGGATTTGAGATTTATAGAGATAGAAAATACAACTATTCACGAAAGTTTAAACGAGGGTGTAATTTTGATCAAGTAGGTTTAATTTTTTTCTTAATAAAAAAAAAAAAATTATGTTAACTAATTTTTATTTATTTATTAAAGAAAAAGTTTAAAATAATTGAGAACTTGTTCTGAATTTATTTATATTAATTAAAAAAAAGTTAATTATAAAAATACACATGTGAAAAATAAGTAGCATAAAAGTTTAAACAAATTTTTAAAAACAAACAAAAAAGGGTAAAAAAATGCATGAATAATATTTAAAATGTCCGCCTTAGTTTTTATAGCAAAGATAATTCCGTTTATAATTCTTTGTTTATTCCGTTGTTATGCGCTTCAGAAACAAGCTAAAACCATAAAAAAGCCATGAAATACTTACCTAGTCAACTATTTTAAGTGCAAAGTTGTAGGCTGCAACGATTTCTTGTTAATTAGTTCAGTATGATGGCTTTAATGACGCAATTTGCTTCTTGCTTCAAGCTGCATTCAAACAATATATCTTTTATCTTTTTACAATAAAAATAATATGGGTGGATCGATGAGAAAACAATTATCAAGAAGAATATACAATAATAAAAAAGCAAAATTTCGTGCAAACAAATATACAAAGATTTCTTCTTCAGAAACAAAAACTTTATCGTTTGTTGAATCTGCTACACATTATGCTTCTTCAAAAAAATTAAATATTGCTTATAGAAATTTTCAAGATTTTCAAAGTACAGATTTTAACTTTGTTATGAACTTTAGTCTGTTAGAAAACGTTATATCACTACTTAAATGCCCAAATTTGTGTGAAGATAATGTTTTTTTAATGTTTGATTCCTCAAAAAAGTATGGTTTGAGTATTGGTTTAAAAATATATTGTAACAGTCGCAATTGTAAAACTGAGTTTTTTTCATCTACATTTTGTAAAAAAAATTTACTTGAACAACAAGAGTCTAGTAAAAGCAAATGTAGTGGGCAAAAACCATTTGATATTAACACACGTGTCATTGTGGCTTTTCGTGAAATGGGTAAAGGGTTATTGTCATTAGAAAAATTTTGTGGAATAATGAATATGAAGCCACCTATGATAAAAAAAAGCTACAATAAAACTTCAGTTGAAAATGGTAAATGTATTGACTTTCAAATAGAAACAAAAACATGTTAATTATGTTCAATATGGAAGTTAAAAAAATGCACACACCCAGCTGAATATGAAAAGTTCCAGTCATCACATTTCCAAAAGTGTAAAATTAGTCATACTGGATCATCATCGGCTATGGAATCAAGTGGTGTTTGAAAACTTTTTCATTGTTCTAAAAAGAAAAACAATTTAAGGTATACCACATATCTTGGTGACGGAGATAGTTCTTATACCAGTGTTGTTGCTGCTAAACCTTATGGACATAATGTAGAAATTAAAAAAGCAGAGTGCATTGGTCATATTCAAAAACGAGTTGGCACGCATTTAAGAAACTTAAAAAAAAACAGCAAAGAATTTTTAAGTGATGGTAAAAAACTAGGAGGAACAGGTCGTTTTACAGAAAATGTTATTTACACATTGCAAAATTACTATGGCAAAGCAATCAGACAAAATATTGGTAGTTTATTCGCAATGAAAAAAAGTGTAGCAGCTGTTCTTTTTCACTCTTCTGAAAGTTATGACAATGAAACACCGCATCAATTTTGTTTGCGCACCAAGGATTCTTGGTGCAAATTCCAGGCTGATAAAATAACTGGAAAAAAAACATACAAAGAAAATATTTGTATTCCTGCTGCTGTGAGGGATTTTATAAAACCAATATTTATAGATCTTGGTAGTGATGTTCTTTTAAAAAACTGTTTGCACGGCAAAACACAGAATCCTAATGAGGCGCTGAATCAATTGATTTGGAAGCGGTGTCCTAAAGATATATTTGTAAAAAGAACTGCTTTATGTGTTGAAGTAGCATCAGCTGTTCTATATTTTAATAATGGATTACAATTTTTAGAGACGTTATTTTATAAGCTTTATATAACAGTAGGTTGCAATCTACATAACTTTTGTCTTATAAATGACAATGCACAAGTATAGTGAAATTGAGACGCAAGAAACTAAGAGCTATACAAAAAGGTTTTTGTGATCAAAACGAAACATTAGAAGGTGCAGTTTAAAAGTAGTTTTGAACAAATTTTTTTTTGTTTTTATTTTTAAATTGAGTTTTTCTCAAAATCATGTTTTATACCCTGGCGACGGAGATATTTTTCAAACCGATAACCGATTTGATCTGAAATTTAGCACACTTGTTTGTAACACATGTATTTGCAACCTCTACTAGAATTATGTTTACAGCTAACTGTGTTCTACTTTTGTAAGTGATTTTGTGTTCTTAAGTAACACCAAAACTTTCAAATATGACTAAAATGCATACATTTTGACTTTTTTTGGTCAAAATCCAAAACTTTTAGTGTATGTTGTTATTGCATAAGTAAAGGATCAAAAGCCAAAATTTCAGTTCAAATTTATTTACGGTTGCTGAAAAAACCCTGTCGCCAATTATTCATTTTTAAGCTTTTGTCTGTCAATAATTATGCGCATAATTAATTTTTTTAACTTTTTAAATTTTTATTTATATTTTAATCATATAATATATGTTATGCACTATTAAAAATTGAAAAAAAAGTTAAAATGCA